CTTCTTTACTTCCCCCTGGAGTTGAAGTTCAACAGGAAATAGGTCTCAGACCTAGATCCTTAGCATCTTTTCCCATGTTGGGTTGACATACCTCCGTGGCTCCCGTCTTATGGTCAGACACTTGTCAGTCCTGTGGTTGGGGGTTTCAGCCAGGACCCCCGGACCACCTTCTGTACCCAGGAGGCAACAATTCCTCTGCTTCCTGAAGTGGCCTGGCTCGGCTTGCCCGATCTCTTACCAAGTGACCATCCCACAGGGGAAGCCATGTTCTGAGAGCTGCCCCGAGAGGTGACACTGCTGGCAGCGCCTCTGCATCCTGTCATCCCCTGAGGGGCCTGGCCCACCAGCGTAAGTGCTGGCGCTCACCTGAGGACGGTGCCCATGCAGGACTCTTCCTAACACACAGGCAAGCTTCCTCCTACCTGAGAAAATGACACCCTTCACACCTCGTTTTTGAGATTAAACACAGACACAGCAAGATTTGAAGGTTTAAGGAGCTGGTGGGAAGTCCCCTCATCCAGCTGTTTCTGGGAGTGAACGGGTTCAGCCAGAACAGAAGATGGCCAGGCTGGGGGCGGGCAGAGGCTGAAGTGCAGGGACAGTGTTTTACTACTGGTGGTTGTTGTTCTCACACCAGTAGATGGTGTGGCCCTTGGCTGTAAAGTCTGGCTCCTGCCTCCCTTTGAATGTAGTGCAGCTCAAGGTGGGTTCCCAAGAAACCCAAAGATTTGTTGTTTTTGTTTGTTCTCTAAGACCCCTGCCTGATGGTAGTGTGGGAATATGGAGAGCAATTTCCTGGAAGCTGGCTATCCAGTATGTGGATGATGGAGATCTTTCTTTAGCTACTACTGTTCATCCTCAAGTTTCGTTGTCATGGTGTGAGAGGCAGACCCTCCATGAGCTCCTTGCACTGGGGGCCTGGCTAGTCTTGTGCACAGCCCTTTGGGCCATACTAGTCTGGCCACGATGTTCCCTGCTTTGAGGAGTTTATGATCCATAATGGGAGTGGGTAGTGGAAGGGGAACACCGACTGACATGAGAGCATTAGCTAAGCCATCAGAGACCTGAGTTCTGGGATCAGCGTTGCCACTTAGCTCAACAGTGTGACCCCTGACAAGGCCCACTTCTTCTTTGGTCCTCAGATTGTAATCTACCCATTACACAGATTGCCCCATCTGTGTAATGGGTAGATTGGCTCTTCCTTCAGACCTATTATCCTAGATTATTCTGTCCTCTTTGTTTTTTTATCATACTCTCATGGGATTCTGACATTGTAGACATGGTAGGCCTGGATGCTGGCCATTGGTTTGAGTTTTAAAGATGTCTAGTCCTTTTTCTGGGACATTCTTCCCCATGCTTTATAGATTTCATCCCTTTGGAGTCAATTCTCTCACCTATTTATTCCTTAAATCTCAGTGGTCCTAAATGCTGTCATTACAGCTGTCCTCCACCCAACCAGTATCCTCTCTGGGCCATCACTGTGGCTGTCACTGCCATGTACCAATCTCACTGCACCCTCAGAAGGGCCTATCAGCACCGCCATGTAATTCCCACAGAGAGAGGATGACAGCAGGGACCAGAGGCCAGAGGAACAGGGCCCTTTAAGAGAATCTCACCCTAATCACTTCCAGCCTTCCTGGTGAGCATCTTCCTCTTTCTAGCAGTGACATTTACAATTTGGCATCTTATTTCATAATTACACAAAAGAATAACCACCTAGACAGATGCCTGCACAACAACGCAGGTTGCATGAGGGCTGTCAGCTCTCAGGATAGAAGGGGGCATCTCCCAGCCTCAGCCGGAAAGGTAGGAACGGGCCAGTCCTTTCACATCGGTGGGAAGCAGTGAGTTTGCTCCTAGCCAGTTCACCTCATCTGGGAAGGTCCCTGTTGATAGAAGTATCAGCACCTTTTAGCAAACTAAGGTACTCGACAAACGAGGAGTTCTAAAGCTATAAAAGCATATCGAATTCCAGTGTCTTAGGGCTACACATGACCTTTTCTGGATTCACTCCCAGCTGGTCCTAGAGGGCAGGGAAGGTGCTCAGATTTATGGATGGGCTTTTAAGACAAGGCCAGGGCTCTGCCCTCCCAGCCCATTCCTGCCCTCAAGGAGCACTCTGTCTGGCCAAGGACACAGGTGTCAGTGCCCACGACCTTGACCAGGGCCTGTCCAGGTGGGGCAGGGAAGGAGGCATTGGGGCTGCTCCTCGGAGAATAGGTTGGATGTACATGACCTTGAAAGCCCAGGGAGTACACACAGCACATAGTAGGCTTTCAAGGAAGGCGACCAGCTGGCTGACTGGCCTCTCGGCCACTGGGAGTTTCTTCAGCTTTAGCCAAAATGCTTGCCTATAGAAGACCTCACTTAAATTTCACATCTGGCCAGCTTGTTGCTCTGCTTTTTGTCTGTCAACACCCTTGGCACTTCTGTGTGCCCCTGTGCGGGTAGCAGGGGTGCTGGGCCTGCCTCCCAGGAGCTTCTCTCTGGTGAGAGGGGAGTCGGGCTCCACTGGAGAGGGTCACTGAGCTCTCCCGTGAAGCTGACTGAGGTTCAGATCCCAGCCCTAGCACTCATTTGTTGCGGGACTGTGGGCTGTCGTTTTGTGAACTTTTCGAAGCCTGTTTCTTCATCAGAACATAGGAATAACTCAACCTGTTGGGTGGTTAGGAGAAATAAGCTCGTGCCTGTGCAATGCTGGGTGCTTAAGAACCACTCACGGAAAGGATGCCTCCATGTGGCTGTCATTGGTGGCATTGAAAGTACCCCTGGGGCCATGAGGATGACATGAACCCCTTTCTCCATAGCCCTGTCAGTGCCTCAGAAGTCCCACCATACGTTCCCCAGGCCTCCCCATCATCTGGCTAAACGCCATTGTCTCCCTTCATTGACAGAAACTGTGATGACGTCCTTTCTCTCCTTGGGATGATGACGGTGCCCTCCCGTCCCTGTCTCATTAGTGCTCCACTCTACTGTGCATACTGTGGATGTGGGAGCTTGGGGTACAGGAGTCAGGCAGAAAGAAAAGGAAAGTGGCTAGAGGGGGCGTGTGAGGCCTCCCCAACGTGACTTCTTGGTGACTATGACTCTCATTCCTAGACATCCTCTCCAGGGACACGGTGTTCTTCTCTAAGATCACCATCAGGCTCCTTCTCTCTCTTCTCCAAGACTGCCTCTGAGAGCAGCAGATGCCCTGAGGATCTGCCCTGTGGCCTGTCCCTATTCTCCACTCCTGGTGGAGGGCAGCTTTCTGGGAGAGAGTGAAGTCACCACAGCGGCTTCCCAACCTCCGGACCCCTGAGTCATCACCTTTCCTGATCACCCACCCATTTTCTTGCACCCCTTTCCTGCAGGGCCAGAGAAGTCTGGCTCTGGTACCCCCCTCACTTTCCTCTGGCCTGGGCTGCCGGGTTCTCACCTAGTGTAGCTTATTTTTTTCAAAACACTCACATCGGACGTCAATTAATGTTCTTTTTCTGTGCCACAGAGGAAAAGAGAACAAGAACAAATGAATCAGTTTTTCTGGAATCATAAGCTATGATTTCTTCATAAACGAATTTAGAGAATGCCTATTGAATTCCACAAACATTCCTGAGTGTTTACTGACCACCAAGGTCTGCAGTATGATTGAGTGGAGGCCGAGATGCCAAAGATGCGGTCCCTGTCTTCAGACGGCCTCCCCGGACAGCCTGTCCTCAGACCGTCGTCATGCCCTGGGGAGAGCCTGATGGTGGGTGTTGGTGGGCGTCGCTGAGCCTCAGCTGTCCACCCCTGCTCAGGTGTCAAGGCCCAGCCCACGCCTCCCTCCTCCATGAAGTCTCCCTTGACTGCCTCAGGCATCAGTGAATTCCCTGCTCTCCAGACGCTGGATTCCTGCTGTGCTCTGCAGCCTGAATACAAGACGTTTCCCATCTGTTGTCTCAACTTCTCGACATCACAGGCTCAGGGGGCCCATCGGATCACCCCCACTTGAACAAATGGGACAGCTAAGGTTTTGGGAAGTCATTTTCCCAGGGTCCCGGAAGTAAGCAGCAGCAAAGCTGGAACTTGCACTTGCGTGTCCTGATTCCCACCTCAGGCCCCCTCCTCAGTGTGGAGCGCTTTCTCTCCTGCATTGGTTGACCCCAAGCACCCCCTCCTTGGAGCCCCTGCAGCCCTGCCCATGACATGCACCAAGTTCCTCCCTTCTTGGTTCCAGCCACCTGTGTGTCACTCCTGGTGGGGGGCAGGATAGGGGTCCTGGGCAGCCGGGTCCAGTCCCCTGACGTAACTGCCACACAGGAGCTGAGTCAGGCTTGGTGAGGGGTGTGGGGTGGGGCGGGGGGAGGAGGAGGAGAGACCAGAGCCGTTGCCTCCCTCCACCCTCCTTGCTCTGAGTCATCTGGAGGCGACGGAAGCAAATAGCACTTATGTGCCGGGTAATTGTAAGACTCAGTTTGTCTAATTATAGCTCACTTTGTCTCTCAGACAGTGGAATAAAAATATAACCGTGTCCGAGGTCTTTCAGCGGTGCTGTCGGCCTCTGAATTTGGCGCATGTCTGGGTTTGAGAAAGTACTAGTCAGGGCGGGTTTCCAGCGCTCTCTCTCATGGGTCATTTACCACCTGTGCCTCACAGAGAAACACCTGTAAGCTTTGAGCTTTCGGTAGGGTATCCATCATCCAAGCATCCAGGCTGGTTCGTTTTGAGAATGGAGCAGCATGCTATTGAAAGTCACACCAGGACAGTGGGCCCGAGGTAGAGCATATGGTCTCCTTGTTCTAGAAAAAATGCATGTGTGCAAGAGGCGGGGTGGGGGGCGGGCAGTTCATGAAGACTCTGATGCAGAGTGGGTCGCTGGGGCATGAAGGGCCTCTGTTTCCAGCAACAGCTCTGCATCATTCCGGGACCTCCAGAGTGATCGGATACCTGCTTCTGCCCCCTCCCCTCATTTTCTGCCCGTGGCTGAGCCTCCCAGGATGTGTGTCTGCGTCTTATTGTTTTCTTTCTCTTTCCCCCAGAGATCCTGCGGATAATTCAGCTGGATCTGGACCTGAAGTACAAGACCAACATCCGGGAATTGTTCGAGGAGTTTGACAACTTCCTGCCAGGCGCCGTCATCGGCATAGCCAGAGAGATGCAGCCGGTGTACAGGTAGGTTTGTGGCGGCTGTGGGGGCAGAGGCGTCCAGGATCCTCTCAGGCCCCTCATCGCCTTCCCCTGCCCTGCTTCCCATGGCAGACTGAGATTTATTTGTAGATAGTCTTTAATCTCTTAATCTGCACTAAATCTCCTAGAGACACCTTTGTCCATATTGCATATATGGTGACTAGTGTGTCAGGTGGGACTGCCCCAAGTCTGTAGCTGCTGCCTCCTTCTTTTTGGGGAGTTTGGAGACTTTTTCTCGTAGAAAGCTGAGCTGCTTGGGTTGTTGGTTCTGGTTAAGCTCAGAATTTTACAACCTCAGGCTTTGTATAGCTTTAATTGCCTCGTCTGGTGACAACCAAGATCTTCTTGGCCTCTGAGTCACCAGCGACCCCTCCTCTGTCTGAGCAGAACCCGTGTATCAGTGTCTCGCGAGGAGGGGAAGGCCTTACGGCTTTGGAGCCTCAGCTGGGGTCACCTCGTCACTGTGAAAAAAGCCTCCAACACGATGCTGTGCGCTTCATCGTCAAGCGTGGGTTGTAGAGAAGCCCTGGCACCTGAGAACCAGGAGACATGCTCAGGGAGGCTGTTCACTGCAGCATTGTGGGCAGAAACTGGGCATGACTTAACTGTCCATAGATGGCAGAATGGATAAAGAAAATCTTTTCATCCAGCTCAGTACCACACAGAACCACAGAGAGCCAGTGGACACACGCCTTGCCGCGCAAAGTTAACTGTAATCTGTAGGGGTGCATGCCATGTGGCAAAAATTATAAGGAAAACCAAGGCAGCAATGATCCCCCAAGCTGGCCTGGTGTTCCCTACGGAGGGGTGGGGACCTGGTGGGGAGGAGGACCTGAGCGCAGGGTGCCGCTGGAGTACCTCAGTCTCCTGTCTCGTGTGTGTACTGTATGCCTTACAGTGGAAATGAAGGAAAGGAAAAGACACCTAGAAGTGTTTGTTAAAACTAGAACCATGGTTCTGGGTCCGGAGAGTTCCATATTACTGACTAATCCTCCTCCCGGTAGTGCCAGAGCTCACCCAGAACCAAGCTGCTAGAGCTGGAATTTCACCATCCCCCTGGGCTGGCCCGCCCTTTGTTGTCTGAGCAGACCCTCCCTCCGGCTCCCTGTGGGCATTCTTGGAGCCAGGCCGTCTTTGGAGAGCTGCAGGGCGCAGGCTGCTAGTGACCCCAGAGCCCGTGTTTCCCCTAAACAAGTGGGGAAGAGTGACAGCTTGCTTGCTTGTGACTATGTGCAAGACACAGATCCCATAACAGGAAATTCCTGCGAGGCCTCTGAATGGGCTGATAACTCCCGGGTCTTGTGGGCTGTTCGCCCTGACGTCATCCTCTCCCAGGCTGTCCCCCAGTCACACAGCAGAGCCTCACAGTCTGCGGGGAACTGGAGGGGAGGGTTTAGGTAAACACTTGCCACTTCAACTCAGAGAAGCCTTAGTGCCTTGTTCCCTCCCCTTTGTACAAGGTGGACCTTATATCAGGGGTTCTTGAGGGTTCTTGATTTAACACCCAGAAGCAGTGGAAGGAGCACTGAACTCAGAGTCCAGAGTCCTACATGCTAATTCTCTATGCTTGGGGCTGGGGTTCCTCCAGCTAAGGATGGGAGCTGGTGTGCTGTAGACCTCTCTCCCCCCGCTCAGCACTGTGATCCTACTCTCCCAACCCTCACCGTCTCCTTATGGTCTTTCCTCTGTCCTGAGGCTGCTGGTCTGCTGCTGGGCTCCTCACTGCTTCCTAAGGCCAGGGTCCCCAGGATACTTGCACCAGGCTCCTGATTAAATCCAGTCAGAGCCGTGAGGCCTTTAAGCCCTGGTTTGGAATTTTCTTGCGCAATAGAAATGGAAACGTGATCCCATTTAAACAGTATTGGCCAGAATTTATGTTTTTGTAGATCCAGGATTTCATTAATGGTGAAACTTAAATCAATTTAATTATCTGGACTTCTCAGAAGAAATCTCTGAAAGATTTTAGATCCAAAATGAAATTGAATTTTTCTCACCTTTGGAGTCTTTAATTATCATGTGCAATGAGAAAAATGAGGCCTCTGTTGCTGCCAGCAGACCCCCACCCTGGCCTGTTGTAGGGCTTGTGCACTCACGATCAGCAGAAACGAAAACTCCTCCGTTATGTGCTCCCCCTTTCCCCTTACTTACCCACCCCCCAGCAGCTGAAATGTTTATAAAGCCTCTAATAATTAAGTCTGCAAATGACGGCCCTGCTCCAGTGTACCCCCTACTGGCTCTGGGCGTATTGAATATTTGAATATTTCAAATTTGAATATTTGTAGCCAATTTGAATGGAGTGTGGGGTGTTTCTTCCACTGGAAAACTGGAAACACCGGTGGCCCAAAAGAGTAAATGTTGGTTGTCTGCACCTTTGGAGGCTGTGCTTGGTTGTGTGGGGCGGCGGGGGTTGGGGGGTAGGAGGGTGTGGGAGAAGATGCAGGGGAGTGGAAGGGTATCGAGAGTAAGCAGCAAGACGAGGACAGACAGAGCCTGGCCCTTTGCAGGAGCAGGCAGCCCCAGCCCCATGGCTTTGAACCTGGCCACCACCGCTGGTGGGGCATCCCCAGGCCGGCATCTGCCCACTCGTGTGCCACTTCCTGCGCCCTCCTTGAGGAACAAGGAACCAGTGGGGGTTCCCACAACTACTTAGTCTCACTCCCTAAGTGGTGGAGTGTGAGGTGGGCAAACATTTTATCATAAGCAATATCTGCTAACATCTATGAAAAGGAAAATTTAGAAAGAAAACAACAGTACAAAAGCAAAACTTGACTGTTTAACTGAGCGCATTTTGATCTGGAAACTCACTAAGCAGAAATAAATTTGGATCTCCTCAACTGTGTTATTTTTATAGTCTCTTGCCTGACAGTTACTGTACTTCAAAAGGGCACATATTAAGTCATTTTTATGGTTGTTTTCCCTCTATTGTGCGCTGCGAAGTACGTTAGGAGCTTGGAGGAGGGTGGAGGGAAAAGTCTATAACGTTTTTTGTTTTTCTGTTTTTTACAATTCTCCCACCAAAGTTCCAACCCCTCTTACCCCAAATGTACACTAAACCCACTGTGCTTTCTGGGAAATGATGGATTGTGGGATGCTAGGATAGTGATAGAGGTATCTTTTCTCTTGGGTCCCTGTCAGGATTCTGTTGAGTCAAATGTCCCGTGACCTTTCTCATCTGAAAATTGGGGAGCCATGGTCATTTCGGGGGAAATGGTCTTGAGCTTTTGACTGCTTCTTTGTCGAGGAGCTAGACCACTGGACAGGTAGTCCTCATAGATGATGTGTTTAGTTGGGTGGGGCACATGACTGAAAGGAGAGAAGGATCTAGTGCTTTCTCTATAAGCAGAATGGTTCCTGTAAAGAGGTAACTGTATTTTTACACATGCATGTTAGTCCAGGATACCATTTTGAATTTGCTTCCTCATGAAGGTATTGGAAAAGCAAAGAAATCTGTCGAGTCCTCTTTATGTATGTATATACCCTTATAAATGTGTATCAGCAGGCAAAGTAGCTTGATGCAGAAGAAATTGCATTTGGGTTGTACCTGAAGCTCTGCATTATAGTCCCACTTTTCCTGAATTACCCGCCAGTGCTTTGTAAGTTGCTTGATTATTTGACCCTCTGTTTTGTTTTTTAATCTATAAGTGGGGATAAATATAACGGAAGCATAGAATTGCTGGAAAATTCAAACGAACAACATGCATGAAAGCTTCAGGTATGAAAGGGATGCTCAGCAAAGGGCACCTGCTCACCTTCCTCCCCTAATCCTCACAACTTTTCCTTGTGTTTTCCTTTTAAGATTATTTGTTCTACTGGATACCTCTACTCTACCCCACCCCAACCATACGGGGTTACCAGTTAAAATACACAACACTCACCAAAGTTGGATTTCAAAAGAACAACAAATAATAGTTTTATGTAGGTATGCCCCAAATATTGCGTGGGGACATACATACACAAAACAATTATGTGCTGTTTATATATGTGGTGCCTTGTTTTTTGTTTGTTTTGCTAAATCGAATAGCTCTACCCCTACCCAAAAATTAAAACCTCTTTTTCACAGAAGGGAATGATCTGCGTGTGTGAGGAAGACCGAATGTGTGTGTGTGTGTGAGAGACAGAATGTATGTGTGAGAATGTGTGTGTTTGTGAAACAGAATGCGTGTGTGAGAATGTGTATGTCAGAATATGTGTGTGTGTGAGACAGTGTGGTGTGTGTGTGTATGTGTATGAGACAGAGAATGTGTATGATAAAGAATGTGTTTGTGTGAGAGAGACAGAGAACATAGGGTGTGAGAGAGAGTGTGTGTGTGATAATGTATGTGTGTGTGAGACAGAATGTATGTGTGAGAATGTATATGACAGAGAATGTGTGTGTGTCTATGTGAGAGAATGTTTGTATGTGACTGAGTGAGTGTGTGTGTGTGTGTGTGTAGAGGAGCCGGGATCACTGCCTTTGGTTATGGTCTTTCTGTCTTGGAGCTGGCCACCTGAGGAGCTGCTGAATGGGAGCTTTGTTGGTGGGGGCCCCAGGCTTCCGGTTCATTCTCTGTTGGCTCCACAGGCCAGCTGTGTACTGGTCTGAGCCCAGACCCACCCTGAGGTGGAAGCAGCAGGCTAATCCTGTCAGCTGCTGATAACACACCACAAGGCAGGAATTTGCTTTTGTGTTAAGTATTTTAATAGTGTCTACTCTTTCACCTTTCTAGGTCACGTGCTTTTTATTGCTAGCACTGTGTCAGCCTAGCCTCTTTCCAGATGCTTGGAATGGAAATGTCCAATTTATCTGCAGGCTGCCTTATCCCGTTTCTAGGACTGGTGAAGGGCTCTCAGGCGAGCTGGGGAGGAAGTGAGGATTTAGCAGGGAGGTAAGAGAGGAGGCTGTGAAATGACCCCACTCATGCCACTCATAGCTGTGTGACCTTGGGCAAGCCTCTTGACCTCTCTGAGCTTGAGCTGCTTTAGCTGAGAGATGGAGATTATAGCAC